GCTGGAGCTGAGGAGTCTCCGGGCCCACGCCTGCGCGCCCCACTCGGGGGTCGCCCCGGGCGCCGACGCCGCGGCCACCGCCGCCCTCACGGGGGGTCGCCCCCCGCAGGCTGAGGGCGACCAGGCCGGCGGAGACAGAGCAGGAGAAGGTAGAGGCAGAGGCGGCCGCGGGCGAGGCGCGCGGCCGCCGGCCACGCGATGCTGGACGCCCAGGGCGACGACGGCCCGACCGTCGCCCGCGAACCCCACAGGGCGCGTGCCTTCCTGCCTCTCCCTCCGCTGAGTGCCGCGGGCATCCCTGCGGCCGCCGCGGGCGGGAGGCGCAGACGGCTGCTGCGAGACATCGACGCGGCCATTGAGGCACTGGATGCATGGCGGGGATCATCGACCTGCCCCACGGCAGATGTCGGCGTCCACCGAGAAGAAGATTTTGGGCCTACAAGCTGATGTGCGGCAGCGCGTCGTGGAGGCGGCCTCCCGCTGGTGCGACGTTGACAGCGCCGTCAGCGAACGTGGAGCCTTGGCCAGGCTCTTGAAGGGGCGCTCGGGGTATGCGCCGGCGCCTCCATGCAGTGTCGGGTCCTACGAGTACTCGAAAGTATCTATGCCGAGTGACTTGCACGACTCGCCGTCACTCATCTCGATGTTGCCTTCGGAGGCGAGGAAGCACCTCGAGGATTTTGAGAAGCTTATGCTCCGGCCCGCGCAGGAGTCGGAATTAATCAAACAATACGAAGGGGTGCCGGGCTGCCGCACTGACCCGGCGCTGCAGAAGGATCCTCGTGCCTACGGCCGCCTTGTGCGGAGGGTAGCGAGAGTTGGCATGGTGACTTTCACTCGTGGCCCGGCCTGCGTGCTGGGAGTCTTCTTCGTCGCCAAAATGGCCGACAAGCTCAGGCTGATCGTCGATTGCCGGCGAGCCAACCAGCTGTTCCAGAAGCCCCCAGGCGTCGCCCTCCTGAGCGGCGAGGGGCTGTCCAGGGCGGAGATCGACGACCCCGAGGGCCTCCTGCAGGGCTTGCCGGTCCACCTCGGCGTCGGGGACGTCGCCGACTGCTTCCACAGGATGAGGTTAGTGAAGACGGCGGGGGGCGACATCCGGCGCTACTTCTGCTGGCCGCCCCTTGCGTCCAAGTGCGCCGGCGTCTCCGAGGTCGACGGGGTGGCCGCGAGGCCGGACGAGAAGATCTGGCCCATGTGTGCGAGCCATCCGATGGGCTTCTCGTGGTCGCTGCACTTCGCCCATACCGCGAACGCCCAGCGCCTGGGCCGCCAGCCCGCTCTGCGGCAGAGCCAGGAGCTTTCGGACCGGGGGCCTTCCCTGGTCCTCGGCGGGCCTTCCGCCTCGGCAGGGTCTGGCCACTACATGCATGTCGACAGCGCTGGCGTGCTCTCTTTCGACGGCGACCTGGTGGGCCGCGCTCTGGCGGAGGCCCAGAGGGACTTCGACGCCGACGCGCTGCGCTTCCACGAGATGGAGGTCTTCGACCACGGCGGGCCCTCTCTGGGCTGGCATCTTGACGGCGACGCCCGAGTCGCCCGGCCCAGCGACAAGCGTTGCGCCCTGTTACGCCGTGGCGTCTGGGCGCTGCTTCGGCCGAGGAAGGTCTCTGGCTGGCAGGTCGAGGCCGTCCTCGGGCACGTCGCCTTCCTTTGCCTGATGCGTCGGGAGCTCCTGTCGATCTTCCGCACGATGCATCGGTTCGTTCGTGAGTCCTATACGAAGTTCCAGCGTCTGTGGGACTCGGCGCGGGAGGAGCTCAACGCTTTCCTCGGGGCGATGATCTTTGTCGAGGCCTTGGAGGCATCAGTCTACCTGCTTCTAGAAGACGACCATGTCGGCATTATGTTGAATGCCGTTCTCAGGTTTTTGTCAGTTTCGGGTCGTAACGAAAATGATGCGTACTGCACGTTTGTATTTCGGCCGCGCACCTATCGTGCCCTGCGGCCGCGCCCCCTGACGTTTGCGCCCATCGTGTAGCGAGCCTCCCCTTTCCCTGCCCGGGAGAAGGCCCCGTCATACAAACGCATTTTACTGTTCGTGGGGGAACGCGCAGGCGCATCCATGTCTTCGAGGGGGGGGGGGGGGGGCGTGGATTGCGCGCATTGCAAGGGCGGAAGCCGCGCTTTCAGATCTCATCGTTTCGTCGACGGCATCGCAAATCTAGAGCCGCGCGCTGCCGACAGGGCGACGCTGCGAGCCGCGACAAAAACGCGCGGCAGCGTAATAATTCACATCCTAAGGGGATGCACTCATCCCTAGCGCCACCAGTGCTGCTTCGCGACGGTGGGTCGCATCGATGTGGCGAAAAACAAACAGAGGAGCCACGACGCATTAACACCAAAACGAGTAGGGCGCCACACAGGTCACGTGTAGCGTCACAGGGGGCGAGAGGGGTGGGATATGCAGGAACGACATGATTCCAACATCGAGTGCAAGTTCGCAATAGGTCGGCTCCGCCGGACGAGCGCCACTCACAGAAAAAGGTAGACGTTCTCATGCCCCATAGCGTTGACGCGTCGCGTGTCCACGCCAGCCCAGCCAGAGACGATGCCCAGGCGAATTGCTTTGATCATGGAAGCGGATGAGCACGCAGCGCAGCCGAGAGTTGGAGAAGCCGTCAAACCGAAGGTCTGGGTCAGCCTGAGCAGATCCAGGAGTTGACCATATATGCATTCGCGGCCCTGTCGAAAGAGGAACGGCGGAGGAGAAGGATGAGGAGACGGGAGGAGGAGTCGGAGTGCGACGAGGAGGATCGATGAGGGGCGGGGGGGGGGGGGGGGCAGAAAGTGGAGGAAGGCGAGCAGAATTGATATGAACTTGATGGAACACGTTCTCACGCAACTTCTGGTGAACCCTCAATGGGAGGGGGCGGAGAAGGGAGGAGGAGGACGAGGTGGAGGAGGAGGGGGGGGAGGAGGACGAGAAGGAGGCGGGAGGAAGAGGTGGAGGGAGGGGGGGAAGAGGAGGGGGATAATCATGTAGAAGGTGGCGACAAATGTGACAGCGTCGAACCAATCATAAAATAATGTACGAATCATTTGTTCCTGGAGTTTGTTGGCGGCCTCTTGGGGCTGCCTTGAAACCCGTTTGTAATTGTTGGAGTTTCCGGAACCCTTTCGGGTGCCTCTTAGGTTCTTCCTGGGGGCTTTGTGGGCCCGCTTTGAACCACTTCGGATGACGTCGATCAAAGAAAGGGGCGCCCCCCTAACTCCCTGCCTTTTTGGAGCCCGAAATGTTTCCTCCTGTGGCGGTCTTGGGGCGGTCTCGGGGCGCTCTTGGCGAGCCGGGGGCCGTCTTGGAACTCTCTTGGGCCCTTCTTCGGGCTCTTTTGGACCATCGTGAGAGACATGTTGAGGCTTCAAAAGTTATGCGCAAGCGAGAGAGCGAAATGGCAAACGCCATTTGGTTTTTCACGTTCGGGGAAGATTTTGGTTTCGCGGGCCCCCTTGGGGAACTCCGTGGCCATTCGAAGCCATCATGGAGCGGTCTTGGGCGTCTCGGAGGCATCATGGGAACAGTTTTGAGCGACCTTGGATTATATTGTTCCATCCTGGAGGCCATCTTGGGCCATCTAGGGCTATATCGAAGCCGTCTCGGGCCATATTCCGCGCTCCAACCCCTCGCGAAACGCCCCGTTCAGGCCCAGGGGGGGGGCGCGGGGGGAGGGGCGAAGCTTCTTCCGAAAGGGAAAAAGGGTTTGGAAGGGCAAGCGCCCGACACCCCTTCCTCCAAGAGGATTGGTGGGATAAAACTAACGAGGTCGATTTACGGAAACGCGAGTGTTCCGTAGCCGTTTCGGTTCGAAAGTGCATGTTGCTATTTTCAATCTTCGACGGCCGCGCATGCCTGCATCATGGCGTTTGGCACTGGTCCGTCCAAATCCCGATGTTGCCAATGAGTTGCGCGCGCAGAGGCAGCGGCAGGCCCGGCGCGCTCGGGGCGCCAGGGCCGCGGATGCGCGCGCTGCAGCAGGAGAGCCGACGCGTATCTCATGCCGAACTGCGCAAGCATGCGCCATGATCGTCCCTGGCAGTTCTGCCGTGTTGGGCGTCAGCGCCCCTCGGCTCAAGGATGCAATGTGCGATCGCCTGACAGAGGTCGCTCGACTTGCAGTGACGCCTCGCGTGAGAGGCCCAGGGCCAGCAGTAGAGAGAACAAGACGTCTCCAAACTGCTGCTTGCGCTTTGGTTGCACATACCGCCTTGCGCAAACAGAGGGACGGTGTGCAGATGTTGCAGCGGCAGGTTCCGTTTGTTATTCGGGAGTCGGGCGATGCTGAGATATTGCGTGGTTTCTCCGCCATGTGGGACGAGGCTAGTCAGAAGGCTCGGCCTCTCAACAAGTTTACGTCGAATGCCCCCCGCGACACTCAAGTGATGGTTGTGTTGGCCGCATTGTCTACTTGTATATTCGGTGGCGACGGTTCGCAAGTGTTCGCGCGGCAGCCTTGGCTGGTCGCCCCGATGTTTTTGGCGGAGACGAAACGCGAATTTTTATTGGAAGCACTGGCCGACGCATTCCCTTGTGATTACTTTAAACACCAGAGCATGTCAGATTTCTGCTTGGGCGCTGCATTCTCTACAATTTGTTTGGCATTTGATTTTGCGTCGTCGAATGTCGCTGCGTTCGGCCGCATGGTGCGCGTGATCGAAGCGATGGATCTGCCAGGTCTTGCACTTCATGGCGAGCGTTGTTGGACACGCCAACTTCATATCGTGAAGTCGTCGTCGTTGTGTCTTGCCCGAGTCGTTCCGGCGTTGTATTCCCTGAGCCGTTTAGTGTCCAAAGACCGTTCAGTTCAGGGGCTTGAGGCTGCGATCCGGCATCATATTTCAAAGAATATACTTGTTCGTTGCCGGCTCGGGGGGTCGGGGGGGGGGGGGGGGGGGGGGGGGGGGGCGCCTTTTTCCAAACAGACCTCTACGATGTGTTATTGTCTATCGTTGGTATGGATGGCGACGATTCCGAGTTCGCCGCCAAGAGCCGCGGGGGCAAGGCTGCCATGAAGAACATCTTTGAAATCTGCGATCGCTGTCATTTTGACCGCGCTGAGAACAAGTGGGCGTTTTATGTTGAGCAAGGGCGGCCGAATCAGAGACAACGAATCGACATGGAGGCGGCGGTGGAGTTCATCGCGGGGCCTATATTGTCGCTGCTCACGCGGCGGCGTTGGCAGCCAGGGGCTTTATCGAGATGGACTGGTGTTATCAGTTGTCTCGAGCGGATGGTGTTGGGCGCCGTCCTTGGCAATATCTTACCGTTGTCGCTGGCTGGCCTGAGTGCGCGCATGGAAGTAACCGAGGCCAAAGTGAAGGAGTATTTGGCCAAAGCAGCGGCGCAGCTTTTGATGGGTGAGGAGTCGGCAGATCACATTCGAGCGAGGGAAGGCGGCAGGGTGCTGAAGGTTCCCGCGTTCTTCCAGGACCCTCATCGGCCGTGGCAGCTTGGCATTATACTGATCGTTGTCAGCGTCTTGGACAGGTTCGGTTGGCGCGTTATCGGGGCCCCGAGCCGCGGCGTTCAGAAACTCGGCTTGGGTGAGCTCGTGGACCCTGGGAGGTCCGCACTGGCAGACACGGTGGAGGTCTTGACGAACCTCGTGGAGAATTTCAAAATACACGACGGCGGTTGGAAGCTGCTGTCTTGGCTTGGAGCTGAGCGCGCCGACAGAAGCATAGTCATGACCTATGCGCGGTCGTGCTTGCTTCAAGCGATGTGTAGCCTAATGGTCAAAGCAGAGATGAGATTTTCGTCTTGGCCGTATCGTCTCCAGCACGTGTGTTCGGATACCGCTACCGAGGCAGTCGTCGAGGCCACGTGCGATGCATACGAAAATGCCCGCCCATGTTGTTGGGGCCCGTGGGCTCGAAATCTCAAAAAGGAGTTCCCAACGGCAGTTGCCCTGCGTTCTGACCGCGCTCGACGCAGGGTGCAGGTGCTCGGGGCCAACATCCGTTTCAGCACGGCGCCAGTGGAGTGCGAACGCAAGGTTGCCGCACCTGAAACCCCCCCGTGCGCCGCCGCCCCCCCGAGCCGCCCCGCCTGCTGCCCCAGGCGCGCGCGCGGATGGGAGTATGGGGGGGGGGGGGGGGGGGGGGGGGGGGGGGGGGGGGGCAGGGAGGAGGGGGGGGGGGGGGGGGGGGGGGGGGGGCGAGGGGGGGGGCGGCAGGGGGCCGGGTTTCTGTTGCTGCGGCCTGGGTGGTGAAAGACGATTGCCAATCAAACGCAGGAGGAGTATCGCACGCGCCAACGGCTCACCGAGCCGCGTGCCGCCATCTCAATTTTGCCCACGCCCAGAGAGGCGGCAGCGACGTTGCCCTGCCGCTTCGGAGAGCGAGCGCACAGTCGCTTGGCAGCGGGCCTTACATCGCCCAAGGCCCCGAGACAAAACCCCATTTGGCTATCCGCGATGGGCGCGCTGGCGAAGACGTCAGCGACGCAGAGGGGGGCCCTTGCATCCATAGACGAACTTGGCGGAGGCAACCCCAAGGTGATATTCATCAATTACAAGGAGCTCTTGACGAGCAGGTCCCTGGGCCGGAAAATGACCAGAGAAGACCATCAGAGCAGCGGTCGAGAAGTACGACGGCGACGCGGACGTGCGGCGTCGCTGGCTGACGTACGTTGTTTCGGGCGAAGAGGGATAAGGATCGGCAGCGGGCGCCCGCTGTGGCAGATGATGACGGGCATGGCCAGGGCGGCGCAACGGCATCGGGCGGGAGAGATGTTCGCGTCTGGTCGGAGAACATGCAGCACCCAGACGAAACGTCCGACCTGCCGATATCCAAGGCGGTGGTCGCGTCCGTCAGGCAGCAGATCGCTCCGAAGTGCGAGGCGCTCAGGAGGTTGGGAAGCGATGCGTCGCCTTACACATTGGCCGAGGTGCCGACGAGGCCCGATGCGCCTGCTGCTTCGAGCGTGTGGGGGTGCGGGAGCAATTTCCGCAATGTTTGCCATGGGCTTCTCGTGGACGAGGGGTTGACGCAAGCGTTCGGTCACTTGACGGCGGGCATGAGTCGGCATGTCGAGTCGCTTGGCGTATCCGCCGCAAAGAGTGCCGAGCAAGCGTTTTTTTGTTCGTTTGTTGGTCCAGAAAGATCATGCCACACGTGGGCTGTGATTGGGTTTCCAATCTTTTCACCTAAAGCTCAGATCCTTTGCCTGGCGGATCCCGTCGGCTGCGATGTTGTTGACCATTGGGCGGGCGAGGTGCCTGCGGTCCCCTGCACCGTGAGGTTGCAGGTCGGCGTTTCCAGGCTTTGCGCGGGCATGCCGAATCCGAAAAAAAGCCATTGAACGATGCACTTCTGATGGGTGGGCTTTGAGGCTTTCTCGAGTTGGTGCGGGCACATGGACGCTTACGCCCATCGCTCACATCATCAAGGAGGACTCAGGCTCACTGCTGGAGTTCATTGTCTCTGCCCACAGCACTGCTTTCGAGCTCGCGGGCGCCGCGAGGAGGAAGCCAGATGTCAACCGAGCGCTTTTGCTGTGCAGGAGGGCGTCGTCCCAAAGCAGGGCAAGGCACCTCGATCGCAGTTCCTCGGCTCCGAGCTCGGCGACGGCAGCGTTGCTGGATGGCCCAGCCGACGGTCATGCTGCGGAGGCCGCGGGCGATGAAGATGGCACCAACTTCGTCGGTGAGGGCGTCTTCCACCTGGGCGAGTTCAGCGGCTCGGTGGAACCCGCCGCGATTCTGGATGACTGGGCCGAGATGTTGTTTGAGGGCGACCCTGCTCGGAATGTAGATGATGAGGCGGCCGTCGGCGGAGGTGCCGACGACGGCCACGACGGGGCCGATGCCGAAGGCCACGCGGCAGCGGGCGACTCCGGAGACACGGACTCTGACGACGCCGGCGGTGGCCCAGTCGAGGCTGCGGCGCAGGCTGTCGAAGGAGTAGACGCATGCTTGGGCAGCGGCGGTGCTTCTGGTTCTGACGAGCCTGCTGCTGCCGACCCGCTCGGCCGCGGAGGCGCCCCGCTCGGCGGCGGCGGCGGCGCCCCGGGCCTCCCCGAGCCGCCCGCGCCACCAGCGGTCGAGCCTGACCCAGGCTCAGAGGCTTTGCCCGAATACCCCGCCGACGCGGATGCGCCACCAGAGCGGAGGGCTGGCGATGCAGGGTGGGATAGGCTTCCTTTAGCGAGCGGGAGGGCTTACGTGAGGCTTTCAATGAATGCGGACGAGACGTGGGATTTCAGAGCAGTGTGCAACATCTGCTCGTCAACTCGGAGTCGAACGTGTAAGCTGCCGCCGCCCACTGCAAAGCCTGGCAGTCGGCTGCGCGGGCAGGGGCGGCCGTTCGGCAGGATATGGGCGTTTGCGCAACAGGCAGACGTTCTGAGCCCCACGCACGGCCCAGGAGAGCATCGAGCTTAGAAGGACACACTGGAAGAGCGCAAGGCCGCTCGGATCGCAGGGTCGGCGCGCCCTGGGGCCTGCCAGTGGCTCGAGAAGGAGCGGCCCAAGGATGGCCGTGACGGGCCCGACGGAGAGCCATTGGATTTGCCTTGATAGCGTGTGATATATGAAAACTCGTCGAGGAGTGGGCCTGTTGGCCCCCTCCAGGGCCTCTGTTTCCCTGACGAAAATCAACGGAATCCACCGTCATCCACATAACCAGCAGAAGCATCATCACCATCGTACCATTTTTTTGTCCTCCGCCAAGACCGTTGAAGTCCGGGCGAAAACCAACGTAGCCAAGACCGTTGAACTCCGGACGAAAACCAACGGAGGTCATCATCATCACCATCACCATCACCACCATCCTCATCACCATCACCACCATCACCATCATCATCATCATCATTATCTACATCACCCTCCTTCATCATCAGATCAGAGAAATCAGCCCGATCGTGCACCGCCATGAGGTGTCTTGCCAAACTTTGGGCGCTCTAGGGCGTTTTGGGTGTCTAGGGGCCTTGGGCAAGGCTGCTCGCCGGCCAGGCGTTGACGTGGCTCGTCGCCACCCACCTCACCCCGTTTGACGTCGTCGCCCTTGCTTTAGCTCCCTCTTCATCGTGATCGTCCCTCCTCTCCCCGCCCACCTTTGCCCCCTTCGTCCCCTTCAACACGCTAATTCTTATAATCCCAATATTCCCACCATCGCCCCCGCCGCCTGCCCTTTTTTTGTTCCGTCCTCCCCCGCCTCCTCCCCCTCCTCCTTCTGGCCTTCTGGCCCCCCCCACTCCTCGTCATCCATCCTCTAGTCTTCCGTCCCTCGTTTTCTCCTCCTCCCTCTCCTCTCGTCCTCCCTCCTCTCTCTCTCCTCATCGCCATCTTCACCTCCTCCCTTTTCACCCTCCTCCCTCCTCTTCCTGCTGTTAGTGCTCGCTGCTCCTCCTCCTCCTCCCTCCTCCTCCTCTCCTTCCCCCCCTCTCCTCGTCTCTCTCCTCCTCCTCCTCCTCCTCCTCTCTCCACCCTCCCTCCTCCTCCTCCTCCTGCTCCTCCTCGTCCTCCTCGTCGTCCTCCTCCTCTTTCCTTTCCTCCTCCTCCTCGCCCTCCTCTTCCTCCTGCTCCTCCTCTTCCTCCTCCTCTCTCCTCTCTCCCCTGTCCCTTCTCCCCCTCGAGAAGATTCGAGGGGGAATATTCGAGGATGAGAACAACGAGGCTTGTGATGGTTGTTATGATGCTGCTGATGCTGTTGCTGCTGGTGTTGGTGATGCTGCCGCTGGTGCTGCTGTTGCTGGTGCTGGTGCTGGTGCTGCTGTTGATACTCCTGGTGCTCGTGTTGGCCCTGGTACTGTTGGTGCTGCTGTTGGTGCTGCTGGTCCTGGTGCTGCTGATACTGCTGCTCGTGGTGTTGCTGGTGCTGCTGCTGCTGCTGGTGATGGTCCTGGTGATGTTGCTGGCGCTGGTGTTGTTGCTGGTGCTGCTAGTGCTGCTGGTGCCCGTGCTGCTGCTGGTGATGGTCCTGGTGCCTTCGCTGCTACTGGTGATGGTGGTGCTGGTGCTGATGATGGTGCGGGTGTTGCTGTTGGCGTTGCTGGTGGTGGTGCTGCTGCTAGTGCTGCTGCTGCTGCTGCGAGTCCTGATGTTGGTCTTGCTGCTGCTGCTGCTGCGGGTGCTGCTGACGATGCTGCGGATTCTGCTGATGCTAGTGCTGATGCTACTGCTTGTGGTGATGCTGCTGGTGGTGCTCGTGCTGCTGCTGCTGCGGGTGCTGCTGATGATGTTGCGGATGCTGCTGATGACAGTGCTGATGCTACTGGTGCTGGTGGTGCTGTTGGTGCTGGTGGTGCCGGTGCTGGTGCTGGTGCTGGTTGTAGTGGTGGTGTTGCCGCTGCTGGTGGTGATGCTGCTGGCGCTGCTCTCTTGGGGGCCTCTCGGGGTCCTATTGGGGCTCTCTCGTTGCCCTCTTTGGGCTCATTTGAATGGGCTTGGGGTCCTCTGGGGGCTCTTTTGGGGGATCTCGGCGCCCTTTATCTGCGCGCCAAGACCTCGTCATCGCTTGCGCAGCTTAAGAGCGGTAGCCGTCGGAGGTGCGGCCCGTCAACTTTCCAACCGCGGCAGGCAAACACGGTTTTCGCTCTGCGCGAATCCGAGGGTGTCCTTCACTCCTCGTCTGCGGTGCTTGCGGCCATGGAGGCGGCGGACATGGCCCTGGGGCCCGTGGGAAACCGTGCCGAGGCGCCGCCGGCTGAGGTACTCACCGCACGTTTCATCGTTCTCGGCCATCATATGGAACAGGTCGGGCGAGTATTGTTTTGTGCCACGTGCTCGGCCTACGCCATCCTCCCAAGTGGGGCCTTGCGTGGGCCTGAGAGCCAATGCAATGGTCGGTCGCCGCATCCGTCCACCCGGAGCTCCCAGGCCACCAAAATTACATATGCTGCTCAGGGCCACCATCCCAAGACTGGTGCGGTCCTCGATCACGTGTGATGCTGATAGGTTTGGGGGGCGGCCTGTCGAGCGTCGGGACCCTGCCGCTTGGCAGTGGCTGACGCTGCAAAAAATGTCGATGGCTGCCCTCCCCCTTCCCCGCAATT